TCTATAAAACCGGTACTCGACGAGTTAATGCCATTAAAAAAACACTTACTTTCCTCCAGTTATGAAAAGTGCTTACACGTAACATTTTACCTGACCCGGACATCAAAACAATAAACCTCAGTGACCACACAACCAGCGGAATAGTCCTTAACCTGCAGCATATCATACCAACTCGCTTCACCATGACATACAACCTCATTACTCATAAACCGTTTATGACGGTCAGACTTGCACACACAGACACACACATACATACCTACACATAAAGTAGGTACTATCAGTTTCCTGCAGTATGTAACTTTGTAACAGTTACGCGCTCATTTGGACCTCAAAAAGGGCCCCCTAATGAGATTAACGTCGGAAATGTTACAGCATGAGTTAGTCATATCTTTCTGTCTATTTTCGAATTCATTTATGTATGAAGTGTGGAGTTTAAATTGGTGTTATGATATTCATCAACACTCTATAAATGCCCACAGCTGAGCAAAGCCTCTTCTCACACAGAGAAGGTTTAAGCATTAATCACCACGCTTGTCAATGCGGGTTGGCGATTTCAAACATTTAATTAAAAATTATAAGCCCAGGTTTCCTCACGATGTTTTTCTTCACCGTTTGTCTTAGAAAGTATATAAAAACTCGGGGAAAAGTCACATTGGTACTTGCCGTTGGTAGGTTTCGACTCACACCTTCGTGCATGAGAAGCGGGCGTCTTAAATCTCCGGGCCACCACGACTATGGTTATGATATTGGTTCGTAAGTATTGTTTTAATTTTTTTTGTTGAGAGGGGGTAAATCGAAGGTTTGAAGGTCGTATCGGTTCGAAAATACCGCCGACGACAGTCCACAGTTTTGCTGTGCGAGGCAGAAAGTATCGTGAGGTGAGGCGAGAGTGAGTGTCAGACTTTTACTGATTAAAAACCGCCTTGTCCCAACTTCTGCTTCGAACCGTGAGGTGGTGTCGTAGTATGGGTTGCTCGTTTCAATGATCAAGCAAAAATGTTTATAATTGAATATTCTGTTTTGAATTTTTGTAAATAATTTTCAAAGAAACAGAATGTACATATTAGTGCTCTTCTTTTCCTTAAGTTTTATTCAAGCTGACTCAAATAATTACTGTGAAAAGTAACTTTACATTTTATTTTATATTTAGAGCTTGTTCCGAAGTGATGTTGGCAAGCCTAAACATACAGAGTAACTTTATACACATTACAACAAAAGATAAAATCAAAAATGTATATTAATTGAATATTTCCTAGTCAGTAGGTAGTGAAAAACATGTATGAAACATAAAACCATCCATTTATTTGTACCGAGGGCACTGTAGAAGTAAAACTCAGTTTTTGCAAAATCACGAACTTGAATGCATTGTATGAATGTTTCCGATAGCACTCCGGGGTCCGCTTCCGACTCGATCGTGCACTGAAATTCAGCTTCAACCCTGAAAATCGAATTAAATTTTAAATCAGAACGTTTCATATTTTTAAAGAATGTTATGTATTTATTTTGCTTTCACTGTTGTCAATAATCGTTAAGTGTCTGTATAAAACTTATGTATAATATTTTTTTTATTGGATAAGCTGGTATACGAGCAGACGGATCACCTGATGGTTAGCAAACGGCGTCGCCCATGGACATCTGGAACACCAGAGGCGTTACAAGTGCGTTACCGCTATAAGGATTAGGAATTTAAGGAATATTGGGGATTCAAGAATTGGGGAGCTTAGGGAAGTGGGAGGGAGGGGGGTTAGTTGGACCTCCGGTATCCTCAATCACATGAAAAAATACAAGGCAACCGTTGTTTCACGTCACTTTTCTGTGAGGCCGTGGTATCACTCCGGTCGCACCGGCCCATTCGTGCCGAAGCATGGCTCTCCCACACTTTCTTGCATAGCGGACCAAAACATATAATCTTTACCGCATCCAATTAAGTAATTTAATTCGGAAACGTTCTTTATGATCTCTTTCTCAACAAAACGCTATTTTAGGAAACAGAGAGTATAGTTCCCTAAGATCGGAAAAGGAGGATCCTCCGACCAGGTGAGGTGATCGTGCCTGGCGTGTTTTCTACCCAACAGTTGTTCGTTAGGATTTTCTACTCATGTTAATTTGATTGTAAACTTCGCATGTGCGATGTAGGATTTTATGACGTCATCCGTTGACATGTGACACGTGTCGCCACACTATCATCAGCATCCACAGCTGATCTTAGTCCTCCACAACATTCACAGAATCATCAATATAATTTAAAACAACCGCTAATCCTGTCCAAAATTAGATATTTCTCATTGCAGCGAGGTTATCATAGAAAGCCGTTATTTCAACCATAACCTCTGGAGTTATCAAACAGAATGACCTCGACCTTGAGAAGTTGAGACTATTTTCTTGTAATCCGGAAAAAGGTCGTGTAATCTTAAATCTTAACAACGAACAGTTTACTTCTAAGTCGATGGTGGGACCCGACTTTATTGTGTTTAAGTCAACAGAAGTTGTTTCAAGGGCATGTTACTGTTTCCTTGAAAAAAAATATGTTTTATGAATGCACTAGCTTTTGCTAGTGACTTCGCCCGCGTTCTTGTGGTTTAAAAAGTAGCCTATGTGCTACTCCAGAGCATAACCTACTTCTGTTTCAAATTTAGAAATTAACGGGTTACCGGGGCTCCGGCTCGACGTGCAGGAGAAGGATCGGGGTGGTTTTTAATCAGTAAGAGTCTGACACTCCCTCCCGCCTCACCCAGGCGGGAGCAGTCATTCGATAAATTTCCCCCCTTAAAAAAAAAGTCCCTATCGATCCCTTTAGCCGTTTTCACGTGAAGGAGTGACAAACAAACATACAAACATTCTATAGAATTAAATATACAATTTAGGAATTTGCTTCAATTCCTACTTAAATCTTAGTACATAAACAAATCTTACTTGTATAATAAGTCTAGTCTAACTCTAGTTGATTTTGCTGATGAAGCGAAAGAGGTATGTAAGAATCGTAGCAATTGGCATTCTGTAGTCTCTGCCTACCCCCATGGGAGACAGTTTATGTATATGTATCTTTCGCCTGGTGGGAAGCGATGATGCGGTCTACAATGGAGCACGTCGTCCCATAAGCAACCTATTTACTCGGGCCTTGAAGTCACCTAGGTTATACCCTTCAGAAAATACAGACTCTGGCAAAGAATTCCATTCCCTTACAAGGAAGCTTGATGCGAAACGCTTCGTGCATGTGGATGCGACATCTACCATGAATCAGTGATGCTTCGCCGATTGTCTTGTGCTACGATGATGGAAAGGACAAGGGGAAATAAGTTGTGATATTCCCCCGCAGACTCACCGAAATGTATACGTCTAGATCTTAGTTTAAACCTGAGTCCATTTGTGCCTACATATGTAAGGGTATTGTTACATACGTTTTGAACTCGCGACATTTACCTGAATAGAATTAATTACTAGTTCAAATAATAGATTACTTGAGCACAAACATCTAGAGTTTAGGGCTAGATTTCACCTTTTGTTCCCTTACCCTTTGTTTGGACAACTGTCCTGGAAACGTTTGGGCCATTCACTCTTAAAACTTTAGATATTTCAAATCTTTTCCAAATTAAATTCCGACTTAACTTTTAAAAATATATTTAATACTTGGTCATTCTATGTTCGTTATTTTAATTACAATTTTGTAGAAGTGAATATCTTGTGACGTAGGTTAACCGCATCTGAGCTGTTTTGTGTTAGTAGTAGGTCACCCAACTAGTACTTTAACTCGTCGAGTACCGGTTTTATAGACACAATTAAAGAACAATAGGTCGCGGTCACCGGTGACCGCTTGGTGTTTGACAGTTTAATTGGGTTTTTCACCAACTCGACACGAGGAACTGATCACACGTGTGTCCAGTTGGTGAAACTTTAAATTAGCACTAATTATTCTTTCGTCATTTGGACACGCCAAGGTTTTTATGTATGTCCACATAGTGAAAATTAAAATTAATTACTTTTATGTTATCGTCAACTGGACACACCTATTTTTTTTTTTCTAAAAAAGGTACAGTTAAGTTAAAAATTGTTTCGTTTTTAAGACAAATTTTGAAATAAAACAATTGAGTAACAATCAAATATTTATATTAGAGTTAGACTCAAAGACTGTAATAAAACAGGTTCCATGTTGAAGATTTGACAAGCATAGTACTCGTAACATGGTAATAGCGACTTTCAAACACTTTCGGTGTCAAAAATATATTTTTTACAAATTCACAAATGGTGAATAATTACAAAATTACCCGGTGAAATTACTAGGTGGGACGTTTAGAGGACAACGATGATTGTGATTCAAAAATATTATCTGCGTGACTGTACTTTGTTATACATTCGGGTAAAATGTGAACGTGTGTCCAGTTGACGAAAACACAAAAGTAACTTAATTTGATTTTCACTATGTGGACATACATAAAAACCTTGGCGTGTCCAAATGACGAAAGAATAATTAGTGCTAATTTAAAGTTTCACCAACTGGACACACGTGTGATCAGTTCCTCGTGTCGAGTTGGTGAAAAACCCGTTTAATTAGGTAGTCACATAAAATAATAGTATATATATTTACATTATACCCAATATTTACATATAACTTTGGTTTCGTCGCGTGAGTGAGGTTACCGGAGACCCAATTACCCCTCCCTAGACCCCGTAATCCCGAATCCCCGAAACCTCCACAATTTCCAAAAGGCCGGTAACGCACTTGTAACGCCTTGGTGTTTTGAGTGGCCATGGGCGGCGCCGATTGCTTACCATCAGGTGATCCGTATGCTCGTTTACCGGCTTATGCTTTTAAAAAACCACTTAGAATTTACTTTAAACTAACATTTTCTCAAGTATCATTTTCACACATATCGCATCCAAACTTTAGGTAATGTAATGTAATCTGCAATAAGTTGCACAGCATCTAATCATCCAGTCAACTGGATTATAAACACTTTCTTAATGAGTTATCACCTTATTTATTTCATTGATATTGTCCACAGTTCAACCACGGAGTGTGGGGCCTGCCGCCAGTAGTATGTGACTGTTACATCGCCATCGACGTCATCTGTTCCACCTCTAGCATATTCAACCTGGTTGCCATCTCTGTAGACAGGTTAGTATGAACCAGGATTCATGGAAAACACTAAATCAATCCACGCACTAAGAACATCTCTTTTATCCCCGAAGGGGTAGGCAGAGGTGCACATTATACTATACCACTGTACAATATAACACCCACTTTTCACTATTTATGTTATGAGCCCCATGTAGTAGGGGGTGAGCTTATTGCCATATACCGGGCACATTTCCAGACTCCGTGCTCCTACTGAGATTTTTTTTAAAAACCCAGTAATACTTTTCCCAACCCGGGAATCGAACCCGAGGCCCCTTGCCAGGTAGTCGCACTTGCGACTACTCGGCCAACGAGGCAGTCTAGTCAGAAAACACAATAAAATACAATTTATCTTTTTATTTAGCCTTAACACCCTCTCCATCCTTTGATAAAAGCTTAAAACATAAATATCAAAACTAATATACAAACCAAAAACCTTTAGACCTACATGTAACAAAAAGACTTTTTTAAACAAAACGTTATTTATCTACAGCGTGTTCTCAAAGAAAATAACTTAAACGGCACTTTGCCACATAACTATGTAAATAGATATTTCCGACGCATTTATATTCTATTTATTCTTATATTCCCTGTAAAAGTGTTTGAGAAACAATGTCGGCGTTATTTAATAGTGTAATGCTCAAAGACATTTTTAGTTAAATGCTACTTTTTATTTTAAAACTAAAGAGAAAGTTTTTACATTAACATGAGATTTCGGCTTTACAGGACTTGAATACTTGAGCATACATTGGGATTATTATTATTTTTTTAAGGGGGGAAAATCATTGAATGACTGCTCCCGCCATTAGTGTCAGACTCTTACTGACTAAAAAACACCCCGTTCCTACTCCTGCACTTCGAGCCGGAGCCCCGGTAACCCGTTAAGTTCTCCGCGACTCCGTATCGACATCAGCCCTATTGGGCCCCATCCGTGGTGGTCTGATGGCTCTTTGAGGCGCGCGCGGAACGCGACGTCGCGTTCGCTCGGGTATACATTGTGATTACGATACATATAACTTAAACACATAACTTAATATACGCTATTGTAAAATTATTACCTATTTTCAAATAATAATGTACCTATTTATGTTATAACTTTCGTGAGACTTACTATATTAATTACGCTACGCTGCAGCGCGACAGTCGCCGCATCGCGGGTCGTGGAATTCTGCTCATGAATATGAGCCTCTAGCATGGCTTGAAATTACTCGAGTTCCTCGTCAAATAATTAAGTGAGTAACCCGAAAAACATAATAAATAATGTATCTTTTGAGTTATAACTCTAACCTAAACTTAAACTTTGGGCCGATGCCAATTCGAAGGGGCCGATGCCGATCCGGAGTCGCAGAGAACCTAATGGGTTACCGGGGCTCCGGCTTGACGTGCAGGAGAAGAAACGGGGTGGTTTTTAGTCAGTAAGAATCTGACACTCCCGCCTCACCCAGACGGGTGCATTCATCGGATGATTTTCCCCAATTAAAAAAAAATAAAATTTAAATAAAAAGTTGTAAGCAACCCTCTGAATGTAAAATTTCAATGACTAAAATACTGAAAATTACTTAAACCCAAAACTACATATTCCTACCGCAACTACAACCACAACACCAGTAAAAAAAAACAAAATAAAACCCAATAAAAACACTTTCATTATTATTTATTTAGGGCAACTGTAATTTAGATCTTCCGAGGTCGGACCCTAGATAACTAATACACCCTGTGTAAGCATCTCAACATCTTAGTCACATATTGAAGAGTTACTTCCGAAGTTCATAAAAGTTGTCCGGACTCATTTGGAAATATTTAGGCTATGTATTTTGGGTGTAGATAAACATGGTATAGTATTTTGTCTTTTATTTATTACTATAAAGGTTTTTAGTTTTGTTTGCAACTGCCTCATTGAACGAGTGGTCGCAAGTGCGACTGCCGGGCAAGGTGTCTCGGGTTCGATTCCCGGGTAGGGCAAAGTATTACTGGCTTTTTAAAAATCTCAGTAGTAGCACGGAGTCTGGAAATTTTTCCGGTACATGACAATAGACTCACCCCCTATTACATGAGACTCAAAACAAATATAGTGAAAAGTGGGTGTTACATTGTACAGTGGCATTAAGTGCCGTAATGTGCACCTCTGCCTACCCCTTCGGGGATAACAAGGCGTGATGTTATGCTATGTGTTTAGTTTTGTTTGATAAAGCTGTGGGAATAGTGGTTTAGTTTTACAAGATTTGCAATTTCGTAAAAACAAAGTCCCAACGTTATCCGAATGTTCAGAAACCTACTTATGTTATCCAAAGTCAAAGTCATTATTTCAAGCAGGAAGGCACCTTAGAACATCGAATCAAAAAAATATATTAATGTCAGCATTAGAAATACTGTGAATTGAAAAGAATTTATATAAAGTTCTCTCCAGAATTTTAAAACAAAAAACAATAAAAATTTAAATATGAGGTCGAAGTCTTATTTATAATGAGGTAGGCCTCTAACACAAAACTTCTAAAATGGGCCAAAACCAATAACGATAAAAATTGTTATTCTATTATTATACACCTGGGACTAAATAAATACTAACACCGCAAACACTCACTTTGCGAAACTTGAAACACAAAACGATATAATTATTTTGCCTAACTTCAAACAGGGCTTTTAAAACCGCTGCTTACATTTTGAAGAGGTAATTAGAACCCTATTTACTTAGATCTAAGCTTGATAATAAATTGCCACAAACCAGACATACTATACTTGTAACAGATGCCAATAATTAAAGAGAGCGAGCCAGATGGTGCTTGAACAGTGTTTCTCAAAATGAGGAATGTAAACTAGGGTTTAAGGGTAGAATATATTTAGGTTAAAAGGATTAAAGTTTTGAAGTCGTTTATGTTTTGAAACATCGATAGCCGTTTAAATATCGTTTTCTTTGCTTCTAACATTAAAATCCAACTTCTGAAAGAAGCAAAAGGTATTTTTCGCTAGAAGTGTGTTGTGTTATCTTTAAGACTTTGACTACCGATAAAAAACTGTTGAAGGTAAAACCTCCGCTAACGCCGGTCACCGGTGACTCCCATGGCGTTTAATGTATTAAAATTACTAGGTTCTACCCGCGACTTCGTACGCGTAATCCCATTTTTACCGTCCCCGTTCGTGATTTTCGGTAAAAAGTAAAAAAAAATGTTGGTTAAAAAGTATCCTATGTCGGTCTCCTGGCTCTAAGCTACCTCCCTACCAATTTTCAGCCAAATCTATTCTGCCGTTCTTGAGTTATAAGTGGTGTAACTAACACGACTTTCTTTTATATATATAGATTACAGTAGTTAATACGTTGATATATCATACCGAAAATCCCCAAAATTTGTTCATACAAAAGTAGTCTATAAACATTGGAAATAAGGTCTATAATGGAGTTAGTGGAGAGCGGTCACCGGGGACCACTCTGGGATTGAACAGTTAAGTGAAATTTAAACATTGAAACCGAGTCAATTAACTTAATTTATCATTTATCAGATCTAAGATAATATTACTAATGATCATGTTAGTCTGGAATAAAAACAACTATGTATAGTATGTAACTAGGTACAAGTTCTCAAAAAACAATACCTATAACATAACATACTATGTTATATTATACATTTATCCCTGTAGGGGTAGGCAGAGGTGCACACAGAAGTAACACCCACTTTTCACTATTTATGTTATGAGTCCCATGTAATAGGGCGTGAGCCTATTACCATATACCGGGCACATTTCCAGACTCCGTGCTAATACTGACATTTTTTTTAAAACCCAGTAATACTTTGCTCAACCCGGGAATCGAACCCGAGACCCCTTGCCCGGCAGTCGCACTTGCTACCACTCGGCGAACGAGGCAGTTAGCAAAAACAATACCTAATTTGGTAATACAAAAAACTTTGAGAAACTGCGTTATAGCAATCAACATTAGTACAGGGTGCGGACGATTTGGGCCAGGGATGTCCAATCCGCGGCATGCGTGCCTCAATGTCACGGTGCTTATCATTTTTGGGGATACCAATTAGAGAATATTTTCGTTACATTTTGTGTAATGTAATTGGACTTTTCGGCTTTGGAAATTCTAAGTGCTAGCGTAATAAGGGTGTATTGTATAATTATAGATTTGATAGTTAGAATTTCGCAAATGTACTCATATTATTATAGTACAATGAAAGAGAGACAGAGAAATATATATGTAATATGTAGGATAATACAGGAGCAAATAACGCACAATTTTGATTTATCTAAAACAGAAAGTTTATTGTTAACATCAATTGAAACACACAAATGAATTAAGATCAAACATGTACACATTACCAATACCAACCTAAAACAGATAAATCGACAATTAAAGGTTTTTACTTCCAATATTTCAGTAGATCGACACTGTATTACATTAATCAGTTGAACAAGCACTTTAACTTTTCTATTAGAAAATATTATAATTATAAAACTTTATAACAATTAGAAAATATTACATTATTAAATCTACCCGAGGTTTTGCATTCCATCGAATAAAAGCGCGGGCTGCTGTCAGCTGTCACTGTCCCACTTCGTGCCAAACGTCATTCTTGTTAGGCGACGAACACAAGCCTGGTAATAAGGCTGCGCACACACATTATACAAAGCATCTTACATATATGAGCAAAAACTTAAGTTTGCATTGAAAAAAAAATTTTTAAGCTGACGCGAGTTAACGAATTTAGTCAAAAATCCAGTTTGTATATAGTTTACATTTTTCGAAATTTGTCATTCTTTAACACGAATTATGAATCTTTATCATACAGTAATACACTCACCTCCAGTTATAAAACGGAACAGATAACATTATTGGCAAAAAAGTGAGTACACTAATACTTCACGCTTATGCCAGCAAAGCATAAATACGTGATGTCGGAAATCAATTTCCAAAAGGCGTTTCAATCAAAGGAACGTCTTATTGTGAGTCGTTGCTCATGCGACTGGGTCTGACATCCTGTCCGGTCTGTCATCGTTCCTTCGTACATTCATTCTTCCGTTCGTTCACTCGTTCAGTTTCCGTGTTAACATGTCCCGTACAGATTTCCTGCATGAAATGAATTTTTAAGATGTTTTTTTTTTATATTTAATGGGCCCACGTTTGGTCACTCTTTCGCCTGGTGGTAAGCGATGATGCGGCCTACGAATGAGCACGTCTAACAATTAGCAACCTTTCAAGTGTGGGAGAGCCATGCTTCGTCACGAATGGGCCGGCTCGACCGGAGTGATACCACGGCCGAGTAGAAAACCGACGTGAAGCAACTTTTGCGTTGTGTTTCGTCGTATGAGTGAGGTTACCGGAGGCCCAATTACCGTCCCCTTCCCCAATATCCCCAATCCCTCAATCCCCAATGATTCTCAAACTCCTAATCCCCAAAAAGCCGGTAACGCACTTGTAACGCCTCTGATGTTCCAGGTGTCCATAGGTGACGCCGAATGCTTACTATCAGGTGATCCGTCTGCTCGTTTACCGGCTTATGCCATAAAAAAGACCTATTTACTCGGGCCTTGAAGACACCTAGGTTATACTCTTCAGAAAACATGATTTAATTTTTTATTCGTAATCTGGCATAAGTAAGAAAAATAATACTTATATCAACAACGTTTAAAAAACCCGACTTCAACTCCCTCTTTTCGTGAAGTGGGTTTAATTAATATACTAAAACCTTATCCTTCATGTAACAAACACTTTTCTGGAAACCGCATCAAAATAGGTTCATCTGGTCGCGAGATAATCGTCTACAAACATGCATACATCTAACTAAGAACCTCAATTTTTTGAAGTCGGTTAATATGTATATGGCAAAAAGGGGCATGTCTTTCCCCAAAAATGTGGAATAGTGGTATTAGTTCTACATTCCAAAATACTACCATTGGATTCGCCTACAGAAATAAATCAAGATTCCAATGGCCAAAAATGCCAAATTGAAAAACCTTACACGTTGCCTTACCCGGGAATCACAAAAACACCAATGTGAGTGGTATTTTTTCCTATCCCCTACATTTATATTGGCTTTTTTTCCTGTTCCTTAGTAGCTACAAACATATCACGCGAAATACATATATTTACCCAAACTTCTAATATAAAAACAAACTGAAATTTCACCCATGTGACGATGAAATAAAATCCAACCGAAGAATGAGATCCATTGGGTAGTTAGATTCAAGGACATTGAAAAAAAAGTAGATTTAGTCTCTTGAAACAACGACTGTGGCACTTGGCTACTATAGACTTACACGCAGAACATATACACATTGACACAAAGGACATCTGCACGTGGTCGCCCATTAATGAAATGAAATGAAATGAAAATACGTTTATTCGGCATAAGACATGCACGCCAGAAAAGACATATAAATGTAAAAAAGTATAAAAACAGAAGAATTAAAGGATAACAGGTAATTTATAAAACTAAAACTAAAACAAGCCAATAATTCAGGTGCGTGGTATTGGCGGACATGCCCAATCCGAACGGGTCACCAACTCAGCATACAGATGGGCACAATGAGCACCTAACACTGATTTTCAGTTGGCACCCCTGCAGTGACGCACGGACGAGAGCAACACATACTTGTAATATAACGTTACACACGCATAAATAACCCACTGACATTTTGGTGCTTCAATCATTTCTAAGTGACATTATGTCTGCCTTCTTTAACGTCTTTGGTTCGACTGTACTGTTTTTTTATGGCATAAGCAGACAAACGAGCAGACGATCACCTGATGGTAAGCAATCGGCGTCGCCCATGGACACCTGGAACACCAAAAGGCGTTACAAGTGCGTTACCGGCCTTTTGGGGATTAGGAATTTGACGATCGTTGGGGATTCAGGAATTGGGGAGATTGGGGAAGGGGAGGATAATTGGGCCTCCGGTAACCTCACTCACACGACGAAACACAACGCAAGCGTTGCTTCACATTGGTTTTCTGTGAGGCCGTGGTATCACTTCGGTCGAGCCGTCCCATTCGTGCCGAAGCATGGCTCTCCCACACTTAAACGTATACTGTCACTTGACGTCCGTATCATGTTGAAATTCGTTGTGAATCTTATCAATGAAATCTGTGCATCTAATGTTAATCAGAGTGATGAGCTAGCAACCACACAATCGGTTCATAGGTATCCAATTATCTTAATCCATTGATTTTAATTAGTTCGTAGGCAGTGGTATGGTATTGTGTATGGTAGGTATGGTTTTAATTAAGCTCAGTAATATTAACACTAGCCTACATACTCAAGTTGTGAAGTTATCGCGACAATAGCCTGTGTAGATTGGTTATCTAGAGGTCATAGGTTCAGAGCTAATGTCGTGAACTTTTGTGAATTTGACTGTTAGGTATAGATATTTTTCACACGTGAACAGCAAATTTTCTTCATGATTGACCAATTTTGGGGTGGTTTATCATCACGTCAATGCACGGTTACAGTTCAGTGTCACACTATAAAGCTCCTTTACATAGGAGGGATTTCTATAAACTCCATGCTATGCTGCCTCGTTGGCCGAGTGGTCGCAAGTGCGACTGCCGGGCAAGGGGTCTCGGGTTCGATTCCTGGGTCGGGCAAAAGTATTACTGGGTTTTTAAAAATTCTCAGTAGTAGCACGGAGTCTGGAATTGTGCCTGGTATATGGCAATAGGCTCACCCCCTATTACATGGGACTCATAACAAATAGTGAAAAGTGGGTGTTACATATGTACAGTGGCATTAAGTGCTTTAATGGGCACCGCTGCCTACTCTTTCGGGGATAAAAGGCGTGATGTTTTGTATTATGTCTATTAAATGCACAGTCTATAAGTCAACTTGTACAGTACCCATGGACAGAAATGAATACAAATGCACACTATTCTGACGTCACCAAGTAAATGATTATTAGTTAGCTATTCATTCTAAAGCCTAAATTCTTATTGTGTGAAGATCGTATTTCAATCAAACATTCCAATAATCGACCACTATGTACCCATAATACGTCACCAGTCCCTTGAACATCCTGGATCCCTTTCGTCTATTATGTATTTAAATTGATCCATTATAACATTAACTGGCAATCCGGGCCACTGGTTTGAAAGCGATAGCGTAGAACACGGCTCATTTAGAACCATTCACCCAGCTGGGGGACAATATTGTAGGGTGGGTGTATTGAAACTGTGTTACAGGCTAGAGACACATAATATGAACACAACGCCTTTTAGAAAGTGGAAACACCTTTATAGGAAAACGGCAGTTACATAGGACTTCATAATTTATACAGGCACCACAATTTACACTTTAAAATATGAAAAACGGGTCTCAAAAGTGTCTCAAAAGACTGCCTCGATGGCCGAGTGGTCGCAATTTCGACTACCGGGCAAGGGTTTTCGGATTCGATTCCCGAGTCGGGCATAGTAGTACTGAGTATTTTAAAAAAATCTCAGTGTTAGCAAGGAGTCTGGAAATGTGCCCGGTATATGGCAATAGGCTCACCCCCTATTACACGGGACTCATAACATAAATAGTGAAAAGTGGGTGTTACTTCTGTGTGCACCTCTGCCTATCCCTTCGGGGATAAAAGGCGTGATGTTATGCTATGTATGTGTCTCAAAAGTAACTTAAAATTTGTAGTATATAGCCAAAACTGAAGTATACCCGACCATAATTAAAATGGTTGCCCTCAAAAGGATCCTGTGCACCTTAAGCAGAACAACATGGTGATTACTTGAAGTTGAAGTTATCTTAACAAGACAGGTTAAGTGGTGTTTTCTCAGTAACTTTACGGTTATACGGGAACTTGGGTGAGCTGAGTTGTTTTGACCGTCGTTAAAGTGATTAACTAATTTGTGTAGGTGTGTTGTGTTATGGTGGTGTTTTGGTCGTAAACTTAACGTATGTGGATCAGTGAATGAAGTTGGTTTAATTTTATTTCTAAGCATGTAATCCTATGTTGTCTAAAGAATAATGAAAAGAAATATTGAATAAATTTTTGTAAACAAGTATAAAGTAACACTTTTACATGTTTAAAATATTCTAGATGTGAGTGTAAATGTTAGTATTACATACACATACACAACATCACGCCTTTTATCCCCGAAGGGGTAGGTATAGGTGTACATTATGCCACTGTACAATGTAACACCCACTTTTCACTATTCATGTTATGAGTCCCATGTAATAGCTGGTATATACCAGGCACAATTCCAGACTCCGTGCTACTACTGAGATTTTTTTTAAATCCAGTAATACTTTGCCTTTGGTAATCGAACCCGATACCTCTTGCCCGGTAGTCGCACTTGCGACCAGTCGGCCAACGAGGCAGTCAGTTAGTACTACTGACTATAAAGTGATAACATCAACCAGGTTATTTTTACACACTAATAAAAACATACTGCATACATATCTAGTTATTACTTATCTTAATCTGTTCCTATTTATGCGAATTCTACTCCCTTATGTTTTGCACCGACCGTCCTAATAACCTTTAGAAAGAAGACAAATAACTACCATAATTCTTTCTTCATCAGGTACATAGCAGTAACACAGCCAATCAAATACGCGAAGCACAAAAGCAACGCACGAGTCTGGTCGATGATTGGCGTAGCGTGGCTGGTGTCTGGTGCTATTGGCTCGCCGATCGTGCTGGGCCTCAACAACACGGTAGACAGGCGTCCTGGCGACTGTCTGTTCAACAACAAGGACTATGTCATATACTCGTCCTTGGGCTCCTTCTATATCCCCTGCATCATTATGATGTTTTTGTATTATAATATTTTTAAGGTAAGCTGTATTTTGGTAGATTTCTTACTATTTTTGTCCTGTGTAGATTAGTCTAATCGCCATTTAAATCTTACTTGAGTTACAATTGGATATAAAATAACACCATTATTTTTATAGTTTTCTTAAAATAAGAATAGATACTAATTATGTGCTTGATAGTTTAAATACGAAACATTTATTACAGAATACTCACTGTGCTCTTGTGCGAAGATTAATTTAGGATAAAAGTCTAACCTGTAATTCTTTAACTTCTACAAAAACCATTTAGAAAACCTTAAAAGTCTTACACAAACACTATCCATTTCCTAAATCATCATAACATCTACAGGCAATACGACAGAGAGCGAAAAAGCAGCGAATAGCAAAGAAGACGTCAGCGGCGATAAGTTCCGCGGTGTCGAGCGGTACCGCGGCGGTAGTGATAGAGAACGTGGCACAGACGCATCGGCTGGACGGGTCCATGAACGACGCGCCCACCAACACCGCGTCAGGGAGCAATGAAGATGAAGATGATGATAAGTGAGTAGTACTTCGTAGGTCGAGGGAAGTCGTTGGCTGATCTGAAAATGATTGGAGAGGAGTATCGTCAGCAGTGGATGTCTGCTGATGGTGACTGTAGTCGCACAGTGCAAAGTTCGAAGCGATAGTGTAACAATTCATTCCAGGGAGGATTTGATACTTAATTAGAATGACTAAAGATTAATATTATAGCTGCCTGCACGTTGGCCGAGAGGTTGGAAGTGCGACTGCCGGGAAAGGTCGTTGGCCGATAGGTCCTGGATTCGATTCCTAGGGCAGCAAAATATTGCTGGTTTTAAAAAAATCTCAGTAGTGGCACGGAGTCTCGAACTGTGCCCGATATATGGCAATAGGCTTACCGCCTATTACATGATGGGTCTCATAACATGAATATTGAAAAGTGGGTTCTATATTGTATAGTATTGGTGTATTTAATCGTACATTTCAAATATTTAAACTGAACCTTCTTTTAACTACTTAAGTTCAGCTTTCAATGGACATTCTTTACATATTTTTAACCAAGAAACTGCCAAATAGCATTACTTAACAGTATTTTAATTGCCTTCCACTTCATTAACCATTTCACAAACATTCTAAAATATTGAAAATCTAACATTTAAATGGCAGACCCAATCACAAGTATTCACTTCAACGATTTCCAATACTTATATATTATTTACTATAGATATGTATAAGATATTTCCTTTGCCAAAAGCTTTAACATTAAATCTCGAGTGTACTTAAAGCCGAGCAACTTGGAATTAAGTAGGTAAACAGGACTATAAACATTTCGCTTTAATAAAGACTTGTTTACATGGAAAGGGAATCTTTATGCACGATTATCAATATTATACGTATGTACATACTTACACATAAACTTTTTGCTACAAAGAAAAATGTATTCTAATGTTAACTATATTGGGTACTTTTTTATCTGCCAAATGAATGCAAATGCACAAAGGTCTATGTTAAATCCGTGATGAGATTTATTTGGATGTTGTATTAACAACCTTTTTCCATCCATGACATTATATTACAGCCTACTATTTATTTATTTATGTATAACAATTAAATAGTATAACATTACAGTCATAAAACCAAGGCGTTATACATTTCAAATAATTATAAAAATAAACAAAACAAAACAGAACAGTCCTTAAATAAAACAAACAATAAGAATAAGAAAACCTTACAAACTATGACAGGTTTTAATACCAATGAGCAAAATATACAATAAAAAAATAAATACGACATTTACAACATAAAATAAAATAAAATACAGTTATGCATTCATACACTCGCACAACTTCATGCATTCTTTGCACACAGTCCTCCAGCTTGATGCAAATACTATACGTTACTAAGCTCAATCTTTTACTTTAGTATATCCAAATCATACACGCGATTAAAATTATGTAAACACATTGGCAAACGCAGCGTAGGACGTCCATCCGCAAGGTGGACAGACGACCTGATTAAGGTCACAAGGAGCTGCTGGATGCTGATCGTTTCCAACCGGCCTATCTGGAAGTCGTTGGGGGAAGCCTATGTCTGTCTAGCAGAGTATGTCCTATAGCTGATATATTGATACTGGCACACAAACATCAAGCTATGAAAACCAGTATAAACTGATCGTAGAAGATACGGAAAGATCATACAAACTGTTGGAGGATATGTTGCCGTCTGGACAGATTAACACACCAATGTGACTAAGTTCCAAGTCTTTCATGAACGTTAAAGAATTCTAGGTTTATTGCTGTCCCTTTCTTACAGCTTCGCGAAGTCAGAGATGGGAGCATACGCGGAGGAGCTGGTGAACACAAGGTCAGCCAGGTTCATGCTGGCTGCTGTGGTGGAGGAGACCGGGTTGTAAGTACAATTTTGAATCTTGAGTTTAACAGTTTAAAGTAGACTTTTCTACAAAATAATACTAGAATAGACAATAATAAGCAACTAAAATCGGATCAGAAATTTAAAGGCAAAACAGAAACAGACAATTATTACTTTCATTTAAGATGCTCATCACATTTTTTAACTTTTTCTATACTCTATCTTCTGTTATAGGTCGTCCGCGTAGAATATGATTCATATTTTATCCCATGGGACCATTTTATTGGGATAAAAGTATCCTATCACCTTAGTCAGCCCATACCCTGACAGTATACAAAATTTCATCAAAATGCGTTCAGTAGTTTCAACGTTATTAACGGATAAACATCCAAACATATAAAGAAATAAACTTTCACATTTTTTTCTATATTCGTGTGATAACAAAACAAAAGATCTATAAGAGAATATTAAAGAAAATAGACAATAACATTTTATTAAAACCTTCGTTTAGTCTAGTAACAGGCAAGAAATATCGAAATAGCCTTTTCTATTTGGACAATCTTCTTATATATTACAGCATTAGCTACTCAATAACCTGAAATTGAGCTTTCAGCTAAAAATTAACCTGCAATACGTTTTCTTTCAACATTTCTTAAAGAAAATTCTGAATTATTTGAAAAGGTTGAGAGAATATTGAGTGCAACCGTTCTGAGACCCGTTGGCTTTGTAAAATTACCGACATATTGCAATTGGAACCCATTACGTGTGGAGTTTCTATTTAATAAATGTGTATTTAAACAGGTGCTTTCTATTTTGTTGAATCGAGGAGTTGTAAGGCTGGCTGTCTATCTATAGGCTTCAGGTTTGATCTATGAACGAGGATTAATACCTTATACAAAAAACAATTTTAGTGGTAGTTTAAAGAGTAAAGAGAAAATACAATTTATGCAATTAACATTGAACAAATTAAGTATGTTAAAACTTATTGAAGACAATTTTTCATGTGCCCGAAGTCCCCTGATGCCTGATACGAAACCTTTATTTTATTTACATGTCATTTGATTATAGCAAAGGCAATATAAGAAGCGTTTTTATTAAATAATAAGAAATTATCTGTTCACTGGCTGCCTCATTGCCCGAGTGGTCGCAAGTGCGACTGCTGGGCAAGGGGTCACGGTTTCAATTCCCGAGTCGGGCAAAGTATTACTGGGTTTTTTAAAAATCCCAGTTGTAGCACGAAGTCTGGAATTGTGCTCGGTATATGGCAATAGGCTCACCCCCTATTACATGGGACTCATAACATATATAGTGAAAAGTGGGTGTTACATTATACAGTGGCATTAAGTGCCGTAATGTGCACCTCTGCCTACCCCTTCGGGGAAAAATTATCTATAAATGTCCTGTGTGTCTTAATCTGTGCTTATTTTATGGTAATATAATCAATATCTTATAATATTAACAAAAGTTCGACGTTGTCGGAACCACAACATGGGTGGCTACCGAGGTTTCTACCTAATGGGCTTGTACTAAAATACTTTTCTTGACGCCTCAATTTAATATTTATATTTTTAATACATATTTGAAAAATTTTGTAAAATAAAATGCTCCTATTTTTCTCTAAAAGACAGCTTACATCTGTGTCGAAGTAATTTTGGAAAAATAGATTATTGTGATATAATTTTATCGTTTCGCTAGAAAATAAACTCGATTGTAGTTATATTATTGTTCGTGTCAATGATCGGGTAATATCTCTATCGATTCGTAGTTATTGGCTTTATTCGCAGAAGGTTTTGTTATCCTTCTCAAAGGTGACCATGAGTAACTGTTGCGATTGTCTAGTTACAGAGGAACAAAGCGATAATTTTGATGATGAATGGATTCAACCAGTATAGTTATAGGACATATTATAACAAAACGCATTCAGTTTTTAAAAGGTAAAATAATAGGAGGGTTTTTTGAGGAGGAAAATCATCTACTGACTTTTACCGCCCGGGTGAGGCGAAAGAGAGTTTCAGACTCTTTTCAGACTCTCTTACTAACTAATAACCACCCTGTTCCTACTCCTGCACTTCGAGCCGGAGCCCCGACAACCCGTTAAGTCGTCCGCTACTCCGTATCGGCATCAGTCCTATTGAGAATTGACTAATGCCATTTAGGGGTTTAGGAGTACTTTACACGTACTACGTAATGGACAAAGGTAATAGGAATTCATTGCCTAAACGATTGACGCACTTGCAAGTAGGACCTAAAATATTTAGCTTAAATTATATATCGAAAGGAGAGGGAGACTTCTGGGCCCAGCAGTTAACTACGTGAAATATGTCTCAAAAAATCAGTTACATTTTTCTAAAGAAAATTACAAAATATGGTACCAGGATTCTATCCAGGAAGCCAGAAAACTTAAATTCATAATAAGACTAAATAATCGATTAAATACGGTTTACGGTTTGAATTCATTTATTTCTAAAATAAGCCCTAGTAATCTGTTATTAATAAATCACTAAAATCTGAGAATATTTGGCTGCTTTTTTTTGTTGTGTTTGGTATTATCAAGAGCGCTTGCTCGCATACAAGATATAAGATATCATACTAGTCGCATATAATAGGTTCCAAAAACAAGATAGAAATAAGTGCTAATAAACATAAGGTTTTTAAAGGAACTTAGCATGTATTTACTAAAGAAATACATTCAACCATACATACAGTCTCTCACCGAGTAGGAAACAAACAACACCATTAATCAGTATTCCTGTTGATAGTGAAATCCAGTGTGAACTGGTTTCAGCTTGATTTGTGGAGCTTTTGTCCAGACTGGACGGGGTTAAGTCGACTAATGTTTGTTGATCTTTGGACATTTGATTCTGTAATAGTGATGTTCGAAAATGTTTTCTCTGTCATCTGCCGAAAGTTAAGAGTAAATTAAAACAAGCAAAGCATAGAATAAAGTCAAGACAAAAAATAGGAGAGGGAGTAGAAAGCCCTAACCCCAGGGTAAATCTCTAATATTTATTTTGAAAAAAACTCTTATGAAAAGAATAGTAGAAAATAGAAACAAAACAAAGTTTCACATATTTAAAAAACATGATTCGTTTCTTTGAAAAATTAAGGTAAGGCTCAAACTTCGTATGTTGGTTCGTTCTATTTTCTACTATTCTTTTCATAAGAGTTTATTTGGGACATAGTTGTTGTAGTCGACGTAGAATAAAAAAGATTTAATAATACATAGGCATGTAACCTATAACCTAATTTATTTCAGTAAGTACTATTTACTTGATGTACCTAACTCGGATATCGTACCAAACAGAAATGTTTAGGTGGACTTTAATAAACGAATTTGCAAACGAGACAATCATTGGTGACTTTAACTTTAATTCTACTACAAAATAAAAAACTAATAATAATTTTCGCTCACAGAATAATGGCGAACCTGGCGTCTCCCATCCCAATGATGGACCCGAACACGAACAACGACTCAGGGTACGCCCCCTCCAACATAGATGCTGAAAAGGAACACACTCCACCAGGCTCTCCTACTAATAAAGAAGAGAAGAAAACAGAAGACAATGCTGAACTGCCTAAGAAGCCGGAGTTAAAGTGAGTATTATTGTTTTGTTGCCCCACACTAGGATTTTCTCCTATATCGTGGGGTGCGTTTACAAACATACAAGTTCACATACACATGACTCCTAGACCCAAAACAACAAATTGTGGATCACACAAAGGGTTGCTCCGTGCGGAAATCGAACCCGTTTCACGTTGCGCTGAAGCCGGTTGCCAAACCACCGCACCAACCGTGCAGTTTTTACATACATAACATCACGCCTTTTGTCCTCGAAGGTGTAGGCAGAGGTGCACATTATACCACTGTACAATGTAACACCCACTTTTCACTATTTATGTTATGAGTCCCATGGAATAGGGGGTGAGCCTATTGCCATATACCGGGCACAATTCCAGACTCCGTGCTACTACTGAGATTTGTTTAAAACCCCAGTAATACGAAAAACGAGTAAACGAGGCAGGAATAACATCTCCAAATAAATATGATAGTAACACTGAAAAACATATAATTCACACTATCCTATCACATCTACTAACAAACGGTGGAGTACTGCGCGAACAAATAAAAAAAAAAAAAACAATCAGCCGAACATAGTACCTCCTCCTTTTTTTGAAGTCGGTAAAAAAAACATAATCAGTGCAAATATTCAGACGATTTTCTTAAAACTCGACTCTGCGTGAAACTAGGTAGAATAAAAATGGACTATACGATATCATTCTCGGCTAGAGAGAACAGCTGACGGATCGTAAACTATAATAAGAGTAAGATGAACTGTACTTATGATAAATGCTTATTTGGATCTAGAATAGAAGGTTGTTGCTGAGATACTGGGAGTTATGGGTGATGTGATTGGGATTATGATGAGGTTGTTCTATTATTGTGACTTATGTATCAGGAATAGAGTAGATGACATTTTTTTATTTTAATGTCCGTGTATTAGATTATTTTAAAACTTTAGACACCTATTTTTATTTTCTTACGAAGACGTATAGTTTCGAAGATGTTGAAATATTTGAAATATCACATGACTTTTGAGTACGATTTATACTCTAAAATAACGTAGCTACAACTCGTTCGTTTTATCTAAGTATTGTTTTCTTATACGAAAAAATAAAAATACGTGTCTAATATTTTTTCATTTCCTAACTGATGGACTAATTGGATTAATTTAAATACCCTGTCATCATCCCTATTATGCACTTTTAACATTTTAATAGTTAAACGCAGTGATGTAACTGTTAGCTATCATAATTTTTGACTAACAACTTTTTGGTATAGCTTTTACGATTTCTTTACTGGTCAGAATGGGCACTTAATATACAAAGTAAGACAAATACCAAACAAATTACGGCTAATCTACTCACTAGTACTATCACAAAAATACAACTACGCACTAAAACTTTCACACTTAGGTAGGTAGGTATAACAAAATACAATAGAATTTTTAAACAAAATTGAGGCCAAGTTAGGCTCAACCCATCTGTCTCAAGGCTACAAAATAATGCTACCATAATGTAAAGTAACCGAGCCACTGAACCATGATTTATTAAACTCAGCCCCCGAGAGGGGTGAAACGAGTTGGGGGTCCTGGATAGCATTTGACAGGGTTCTTAATTAAAAACAAACAAAGAATATTTGCCCCCAAAAAATGAAGCACACGGCTGTAATGAATCCATGTCAAGGTTGTATGGTTGGTGCAAAAATATTTAAATATTAACAGAGTTACTCTCACATAATGAGGAGTGGTCTATATCACTGTTTTCCTAGCTGTCTCTAGACACAAAATTTACCACACCATTACCTAAAGTGAAAACGCTATATAAATACTCACAAACATACTATATTTTCATACTTATAATATTAGTAAATATTAAACAACCAAGTTTCTTCATCTTCTTCTTTAAGGTAGAAATATCATTATGTGAAAATCAAAATCCAATAAAATTATTTCAAAGATACTTGAAATGGTACTAAATACTTTTGTTCCCGACTGTACAAAACATTAGCTTTTTATTCCGCCACATTTCATCGTGTTGATGTGTTGTCGCGGTGATAAATGACATTCAATTATATCTGTTTACCATGTTCAGGGTGTCAGCGTGAAGATTTTTGTTGTCATTGCCGTGATGACTTCCATATATTACCCCTGATAGGCCTTGTAAAGTTAGGCCTTCAGTACTCACGTTATCATTGTGAATTAATTAGTTGTATTTTATTTTTCAATTAATGTTTTTGTCTGGTGTACCGTCATCGTCAGCAGCTCGCTAGAGTCCACTACTAGACTATGGACCATCTCTTCAAAAAAAGGGATTGCCATAATCTTCACATTTGGCCAGTAGGTTAGAGATCACTGTTTGAAAGGAGTACGTTTTCTAAAAAACGTACTGCTGCAGCTGTCTGGTGTCTTAGCTTAGCTTCACCATCATCAGCAAAAAGACGTTCACTGTTCAACGAAGGCCTCCCCTTAGTCTTCCGCGTTGAACGACAACTATAGCTAAGATAGCTATAGTACTCATTCATGCAAGACCCTGGAAGTTTGTATGTTGTATATACTTTTGTTAATCAATCACATCGAAATAGCTAAAGGGATTGGGATGACATTTAAAACAAGGGTGGATTCATCATCATCATCATCATCAATAACTTATAAATGCCCACTGCTGAGCAAAGTCTCTTCTCACATGGAGAAGGTTAGAGCATTAATCACCACGCTTGCTCAATGCGGGTTGGCGATTTCCAACTAATAATTAGTTATAATTAGAAATTATAAGCCCAGGTTTCCTCACGATGTTTTCCTTCACCGTTTGTCAGTGGTGTCTAAATAATCTTAGAAAGTACATATAACTCGGAATAAGTCACATTGGAACTTGCCATTGGTAGGTTTCGTACCCGCACCCTCGTGCATGAGAAGCGGGCGTCTTCAACCTCCGGGTCATCACGACACATAAGGGTAGATTATGGTTTGAAATGATATATATACTTCGTTTTCCCCGCGGGAAAGCTATGATGCCTAAATTGGGACTATTTAGAGATAAAACTTACTTGGTCTTGTTCCCAGTTTACAAATATCAAAATAATTAAAATCTTATACTGTTCTTTTGTCTGTAGCTCACTTGAGTACTGTTCGCAGGTTTGGAATCCCATGTATGACATCTGTATCTCAAGACTGGAATCTATTCAACGAAACTTTACGCGATACCTGCAATATAAGTTTAAACCCACGACCATAATTATGATTTGAGATGCAAAAGGTACCACTTACTGCCACTTAAGGAAAGGAGGAATATATCAGATATCTCTTTCCTCGTCAAGTTGGCACAATCTTATATCGACGCCCCGGAACTTCTGTCCAAGATTAATTTACACGCTCCCACTAGATCTTCTAGAACACCCTTCCTTCTTCTAAACATTCCCCGTTGTCATACTAATTACAGACAGAACTCATTCTTTATAAGATGCGCAAAGTCCTACAATAATCTGGTCGACTTTTCTGAACTGGACTTGTTCGTTACTAAGCCTCATGTATTCAATCGATTACTTACAAAACATTGGTTCGATAGCTGTTCCACTTAGCACTGCAAGAATTAATATTATTGTATTTGCCATAATTCCTAATTACCTCTTTATTCATTTTTTCTCTTTCAAGCGTGTTCTTCATAGATAACTAAATGCGAAAACATGTAATTGGTTATTAGTTGCGTAAATTGTGTTTTTGTTAGCTGTTAATACTGTATGTTTTCCGATGTAAATAAAATAAAAATAAAATAAATAAAAACAAATAAAAATCTAGACCAAAAGTCCTTTTTTCAACTAAACTTTGTCAACTGACATCGTTGAGCCTAATTGTACCCCTTAAAAGTTTAAATCTACTTATAAAGGAGTAGACATGTCTGTACTTGTTCTAAATCTTGTTAAAACGACTGAAACTTTCCTTCGTGACTTACATACGAAGCCAATTTGTGTTATTTCCACTTTTTCTTCTAACAAAAGTATTATTGATTGTGACCAATTATTTGTTTTCTGATTTGAAGACGTAACTGAAATTAGTTCAGAGTTTAAAAGTAAATTCAAGAAGTAAAATTTAGTTTAAGTAACATTAAATTTTTTCTTGATCAAATTTACAGTCTTATCAAAAAATGCTATGAAAATTCATTCAGGAGAATAAACAATACAGAATCAACAGTACATAATATATCCAATCAAACTTATCAATTCATCAACACACAACAAATTTAAACGTCCAAATACTAAAGGATGGACAACAAATATTTCGTTACTTTTTTATAAAATCTTACTTAAGTTGTAAAAGCTTGAACAATAACTTGATAACACATTACCTCTTAGTTCCAATAAAATAAAACCCTATTAATAAATATAAAGTGAATATAATATGACAGCATAAATCAGTACTACACCCAAACCGACAAACGACGTAGCACCAACTACAGCGCTACGCCGTAGGAAAACGTCTACGCCGTAGTACAAATGAGACAATGAAAGTTAATACTACAGTGAATTCTACATTATATTAATGAAGTCTTAACATAAAGGTTATTCTCATTTGCTAGTGATGTAACACTTATATAACAGCATTCTATCGGATATCCGAAACTTGCCTCGCTTCCGTATACGATAATTATTTCCGAAATTGCTTCTGTGGTGTACCGGCAAATGAGCAACTCCATTTATAATTATGGACCATTATGCAACGGTAGCTGTGAGATCGAATATTTTAGTAGTGCTGTGGAAGATGTATTGAAATTGCATATTCGATTTTTAAAGGAAAATTTCTGCATGTAACGTGTTAATAAATTGCTATGAATATTCATTCAGGAGACTTAATATTTTTACGATATTACCAAATACTTCATGTTTTTATTTAACTTCCGTTTTAATTGAAAATTCTTTATTAAGTCAAAACTATATCGCATTTCATAAATAAAACAATTAAAACAGCAAAGTGCAGTGACAATTTCGTGCAACATAGAACTTATAAAATTCATTCGATAAACTGTTAATAAAAATATCGGGT